TTTTTTAAATTGGTTTTTTTTTTTTTTCCAGCGGGGTAATGCCACCACGCGTGGACCGTTTCGTAGTTCCTGAAAAGAGCTGGAATGAGCTGATACGACATGCACAATATTGGAAGACTTTTGCACGGTTGGTTTTAGGTGAATAAAATGTAAATTACTGACACCATGACTTCTACTTGTTTATTTTTTTTAATAATTATCTATAGCCAAAAATCTGTAAGCACGGAAGTCTTTGAACCAATCATATATTTCTAAAAAATATTAAAGATACCGTGAAGAAAAGCAGGTACATTACTTAAGGTTTTTTTGAATTCTTCGCAACTTTATCCTCATTCTATATTAGTACTACGTATTTTTAATGTTTTACTAGTATTATATATTGCTAAATCTAGCCAATCTTTTGGGACGTCAACCTTGAACAGATAACTCTTTTTAGGTTGATTTTTGAAGTCTCATGCTTTAACTTTTTCTAGTTATGGTCTGAACACTTCACTTCATCACTTCCGTCTGTTCACGGATGATTTGGGTTTCGATCGTTTGCTGGTTTTGGGAGGTACTGGCCAGTGCTTTGAGCAGACTATCTTTACTGCTCCACTAGCGCGTGACCCGGATCCTTATCCAACACAGCTTGTTCTTTCACCATACTGTTTAGAAAGAAGTTTCCACAAGGTTCTTTTTTTCTTGTGATTTTGCTGCTTTGCTCAAACCTCTAGGTAATTTTTGCATTTGGATTTATAACTTCTGGCTAGATTGCCTTCCCCTTAAGGATCGTTTACTGAGGATTTTAGAATGAGTGGTACCTTAGAATAGAATTCTAGTTTTAGATACAGCTTTAGAAACCTGACACAAGTACGTTACTTTTCATCCAATATACATGAAATTTTTTGACGGGGTTTTAGAGTGACAAGTAGATGTGAATGGCAGCGAAGAATTTGAGTTTGTGAGTTTTTAACAAAGTCAGTTTTTAGTCACGCTTTGAAAATTTCTAACTGAAAATATCCGCAAGGTCCTTTCCCCAGTAGCGAATTTACAAACATCTATTTCTAAAAATATCTTTATTTTTTGTTGTCATATAGTGCTTTGTCAGTAGTTTAATTCTTTCTATAAGTTTATTTTTTTAACATCTTATTTATAAATTTTTCACAGTCGTACTCGAAGATCAACTTTTCGGTTGAACGAGTAGTAAATTTGGGAACAGTTTACGGGAGTTTCCTTGGTCCACAAACGACAGTAGGTTTGTTTTTTTGTTTGGGAAAGGAATTACAAAAAAAAAGTTGAAAATGGGTAAATATATTATTTTGAAAAGCTGGGAAAGGATCGTGAGGGGTATTGTTAAGCGTGATAATTCTTGAGGCATACTTTACGTTCACATCGAAAGAGGATTACATTTTTCTAGGTTTAATTTATTTTAGAATTTCAGTGACCAGTTGTAGTGTAAGGTGAATAACCTGTTTATTGCAGTTTTTCGCTTGACGACTGTTATTTGATATGAGTAACAGCTACGAAGCTGGTTTTGTTTAGCTTCTGGTTTTTAGGGACCAACACCTGCTGAATTAGCTGCGTTATGCGAAAGACAGCGTACTTCTATAGCAGTTGGTATATCTTCTTACAAACTTCATCAGCCTTCCCATTCGTTACTTTACTGTGACTCATCTCATCTTTTTCTTTTAAAGGTACGGAGATTTGTTGAAACTCTGTATTCTGAAATTGATTCAATTAAAGGCATAAGGCTAATTATCTTGATCTGCAACATATTCAGACTGAAGTAAGGAATTTTTTTTGCAGCATTTCAGTAATATTTTTGTCACAGCACTTGTAAGTTAAGTGATGACAAAATTCCATTTTTAGAAAAATGTGTTTTATCAAGTTGGTGAAGACGTTGATGGATGTCCTCTGAATGCCGAAATATGCCCGTGTGATCCCAATCTTGTGGCTTTTGTGGCTAACCGTAACGTTTACATTGACTGGTAATTTTTTCATTGATGTTTTTAATGTACTTAGGCAAATTGTCTTTTAGTAGGATCTAATACCCTGTAATAAATGTGCTTCCAGTTCTCTAAACTTTTCTTTCTCATTGACCATATTCAGTTGTTTTATTCACATTTTTATTAACTTGAATGAGATGTTACTTAGCAGTTACGCTGTATATTGCGAACAGCTTTGAAGGTATGAAATTTCATCACATGTCTCTCTCGTTGAACAGATTTTTGTGAACTTATAAAGGTATCTAGTTTGAAATGTTCTGATATTTTTGGGTTTTAAAATTGGTTTAAAAAATTTAGTTTTGGAAAGATTATCTACCATACCTCAGCCGAAAAAGGTGTAACAAATGGATGTTCCTCTTATATAATGCAGGAGGAATTGAGCAGGTTTACGGGACTGTGGTGGAGCCCTGGGGAAGAGAAGTCTTTGCTTTACGAACAGGTTGATGAACGCGATGTTTGTGAAATTCAGTTTTCGCGTCCTGGACAACCTCCGTCTAGTCCTATGAGATATCCGCTTGCTGGTACCTCTAATGCTGTTTCTTATTTACGAATGATCTCTGTCAAAGGCACGGAAACAAATTTCCAAGTTGGATATTTTATTTTCTATATGCTCATTGTTGCATTGGTAATCACTCAAAAAATAATAAGATAAAACATAAATATTGTATCAACTTTTCTTTAGAAAAATTGGATCTTATTTTGCCCGTTAGAAGGGACCTCTGTTGAAATAAATTCGCTGTATTTCCAGCAGGAAGTACTATGCTTGTTTTTTTTTCAGTATAATACTCAAAAAATGTTTTCTTTGAACTGTACTGAATTAAGATTAATTCTGTAGAGCACCTTATTTGTTTTTTCAAAACCGAGAAAATTTTCAGATTACTGACTACGGTATTACAGAAAATCTTCACCAACTTTTTCCTTGGTATGAGTACTTGGCACGTGTTGGGTGGCTGCCTGATGGTAGTGCGTAAGTGCTATTTTTGGGCTCCATCTTGAAATTTATATGTTACATTTTCTTTTAAAAGAGTTTGTTGTCTTATCCTTCTAATGATTTTCACGATTGGTAATCAATATTGCCTTCAAATTTTTAATCGTTCGCGGTCGGTGACAGCGAATATAAAATCAGTTTAGTCTTTGAATGGTTTAGAGTATGGGCGCTGCTTCTCAGCCGTTTGCAAGATCAGTATGTGCTTATATTGTTGCCAAAGGGTCTTTTTGCGGAGAAGAAGTCAGAAGCAGTGGGAAAGGTTATTGTCTTGGTAGAGCGAAGGACTCGCGGTTGGTATGACGTATGTTTCGTATCTCGCACTTGCTTAACTATTCTTCTGGAATAATATCTTTTCCGTTCCATATTCGTAGCTGTCTTAAGTTGAAGTTATTTGCATTTGAAATTGTTATCCAGTTGAGTTTAAAGGTTTTTTCCTGTTTGTTCTTTTAGAGGGATTTGCTAGTTTTTTGGTCTTGTGAACAGTAGAGGGGAAACTGTTTACTTTACATCATTGGGACTTCTGTTATCTATTTTAGGTGGATAGCCTAACTTATTTTTTTCCTCCAAAGAATGACACCATCTCTTTTATCCATACAAATAACAAAAGCGATACTACTCATTTGTCTTACTACACTATACAACTTGACTCAGGTAAAATTTTTCCTCCCGATTTTTTTTCACGCTTTGTTGAATATATTTGCCAAATTTTGGCGGCAATTCTGTCATGCTTTTCTGTAGGTTAAAGTTTGGCTTTATGCTGATTGTACTTCTGAGATTCGGCTTAGGAGGTTATTAAGCTGGTAAGAAAGTGCTCAAGCAAAATCGTTAAGAATGGAGAGTTGCAGAAGTAATGACAGCTACTTAAGTTTTACCACTCTGATTTAAGCATTTTTTGGCTTGTAAAAATCTTTTCGGATTGCTTTAAACCACTTATAAAGCTTAGCAGGACAGTTTGCGGATTCAAGGTAACTTTTTTTTTTTTTTTCTTTTCTTTTTTGTGGAAACACATCTCTTTAGAGCTTTTTTAGAGGAGTCACAAATTGATAGGTACAGCTGTTAGTTTGTATTAGTATAAGATTATGGAGTTGTTTAGAGGAGGGGACAACTACTTAGGAAATTTTATTTAGCGTTTTGAAGAGTAGCATTACTTTCTATTTGATGCCTGGGTATTAGAGTACTGCTACAGCTTTTATAGAATGCTTCCAGGTGGTATTTTAATTTCTGTTTTAAGGTTCGTTTATCTTTGACATATCATGATAATTCGATCAAATCCGGGAAAAGAGCTAGGCACGTGAGTAAAGCATAAAATCTAGGAAGGCGTGAGGTTAAGGAGGAGATTTTTCTAACGATGTTCATTATCTTCAACAGTCTTTTTGAGTTAACATTTGAAGTTAGAAAGATTTGAGGGTGGAAGTTGGAGAAAATTCTTGTGGTTTTTGAGAGGGAATTCGCTCCTTGTTTTTCTCACCTCATTACTTGCTTGCTTTTGCGATTTCTAGGTGCTCCACCCTCATCGTACCTGAAAGATGAAGTATTACCACAATTCTGCAGTCATTTTTGTCACAATGATGGAGAATTTTGTATATCATGTGTGTCTAATTTTGATTTTTCAAAACGTTTTAAGTTGTGTTTTTGTTTTATAGATCTAAAAGTAACTTCTTTAAATGAAACCATTATTACCTGGGGCGATTGGTGCATTTTTAAAGCAGCTGGATTACATGTGGATCCTACTCGTAATCACGTTTATTTCATAAGTAATAAAAACCACCCCACAGAATCGAACTTGTATGTTTTTAATTCTCATTTTTGTTTCGTTGCTGGGTCAGTTAACTTCTTCTTATTACTCAGACCGGTGGTTATAATTTTTTCATTCGTAATTTATTGTTGCCCATTTTTTTCTTCAAGCAGTAGTATATGACTTCTTTCGTTTAGAAGCTTTACATTTTTGGAAAAAAACATGGATTTGTTTCCAGAAACATTTTTTAGTTATTAGTTTGCAAGTGGTTTGTAGTAATCTTTGAGGACAATGAAGTTCTCTTTTCTTTTAATTTCATATCGGGGTGCTTCTGCCGCTACAGCAGTTCTAATTTAATTTCCAAAGCTCTAAATTTTTAGCGTTTCAGGGGTAAAGTAATTTTTGGTAAATTTTTTGCAGTGACGTTTTCAAGCTTTATTGTTTTCTTCTTTCTGAAGCGTTTTTAGATGCGTGACTTCGTATAAACATGAATGTGAGGCCAAAATTTTAACAGAAGCTGGGTTGTCGTACAGGTTATTATTTGCTTCTTCACCTATATCATTCCAACTTCTTTTTTCATTGTTTGTTCGTCTTCTTATTTCTTCTTTACTCAAAATTGATAACTAGAAGGAATGTTTTAGCTGTTTTTGATCATGCGATTAAATCTATTACTTTTCACTGATTTTCCGGAGCGAATATTTGTTTCTTTCACACAGGTCAAAATTTCAGAGAGGAAAGGACAGATCTTGAAGTGGAGATGGATGAAAACATTGGATTTGTTTGCTGGGAAAGTTCATTGGCTCTTCCACCTCGCTGTTCGTTTTATAGAATTATGCATATCGCAGGAGAACAGCTGCCACGGGCGGTTCAGCAGCACATAATACAGTTACCTAGTTCTAGTCTTCTAAATGAACAAGCAGTTTTATCTCGTAAGTAAAGTGAAATTTTCTTCTATCACTCCCGCCTATGATAACGACATTGCGCTGTAGAAATAGTTGTTCCGAAGTTTAGCTTGTTACAGTTCTCTTCTGAAATAAAAGCTTGAAGTAAATATTTTTTTTTAATTTGAGCAGTTGTTTTAAAAACACGGTCTTTCAGAAAAAACTGATTATCCGATCATATTAGAGTATGACTCTACAAATTCTGGCCGGAAACATTACGGGTTGCTACTTCGGCCTATGAACTACACTGCTGGAACCTCTTATCCGGTTGTTCAAGTTGTGTACGGCGGGCCAGGTGTGCAAATGGTGCGAAATTGTTGGTCTGGGTACGGATCTTGATGTGTAAAACAGTAAATCATCGGTTTTATATAATGTTTTGGGCAGTTGCATGGTGGATGGCTGCTTTTTTGTGTTTTTTAAAATTCTCTTCTAGCTCTTTATTTATGTAGATTTGTTCATTTCGGAGGAATTTTCTAAAAGTTTCAGTGAAATAATGAGTTGGAATCTCTGTTGTCGCTTCTTCTATCATTTAATTGATAGCAATTTTTGCTCACTCAGGAAAAGGACTAAAGTTATTCAGGTGGACAAGTTATTTAAAATTTACTAGTCTTGGCTATGCTGTTGTTATGGTAGACGGACGAGGCTCTTCAAATCGTGGATTTTCATTTGAGTCACCTATTGCTAAGCGACTCGTGAGTCTTCCGTATGAAAGAATTTCCATGTAGCGAAACTTATCTGAAAGACGCAAATTTAGTGGCTGTCTTGGCGTGGGCCAGAAGTTTTTTGTTGAATTATGATATGCTTGATTTTTTTTTGGTGGTCATTTCAAAGGGGAACATTATGCATTAAGGGCGACAATTTACTGTTGTTGTTTTTGTTTCATGGCATCATGGACAAATCTTAAAATGTCATTAGGGAACCGTTGAAATAGACGATCAAGTGGAAGGATTAAAAAAAATAGCAAGTATATCGGGCGACTTGCTAGACTTGGATCGTGTCGCAGTTATGGGTTGGTCATATGGCGGGTATCTTGCTTTGCTGGCTCTTGCAAAATATCCTCATGTCTACAGGTGAATCACCACGTACTTTTTCTGCTGGCGGCTTTAGCGGTGGCAAATTTTAGTATTTGCTGATACGCTAGTTAGCATACTCCAGATGGATTCTTCCTTCTGAATGTTGTTTTTTTATTATACTTGGATCTTTATTTTATTACTTTTCCATGTACAGGGCTGCTGCAGTCGGTGGTGCTGTTACCTGCTGGCAATTATATGACACTGCATACACCGAACGATATCTCGGCTTACCTGCAGACCCTACATATAAAAATGCGTCCGTTTTAAGCTACATTAATCAACTTCCAGATGAGTAAGTCCCTGTTTGCATAAATTTTTTAGTAAGTCCCTCTCATACCTCATTATAAATTATGCGCTTTATTTTTTTGATTGAAATTGAAGGATTCGTAGACTACAGTTCGTAATACAGGATGTTTGATTGCTCTGTTAATATGATTCATTTCATCTTCTCGAATGACGATTTAGTCTACTCATTTGCTGCCTAAAGATAATTAACAGCAGTCAGCTAAAATGATCCTCATCCCAGTTCCTTTGTATCGATTCGCACACAGAGCAGTTCTAGATTTTAGAAAAAATCGAGTTATGCAATTACAGGGAAAATCGACTTCTTATTGTCCACGGATTAATGGATGAAAACGTTCATTTTTCCCACACTGAAAAACTAATTGAAGCACTTATCGCGGCCAGGAAGCCATACCGTCTTCAGGTTTTGATGTTTTCAGAAAAACGTTTTTCAGAATAAATTTCTGCATCTATAAGTTTTTAAAATGATGGATGTGTTTTTTTAAACCAAATTTTTCTGCAGTTTATTTTCATTCTCAAACAACCTTGGCTGTAGTTGCTAATTTGACTGCATTCTTTTTCTTTATAATTACTCGCCAAAGGTTACAGATCTTTCCTTCCGAGCGACATGGCGTTCGTTCCGCTGAAGCCAACGACTTTCATGATGCCATCACCCTATCTTTCTTCCAGAAAGCACTTTCAGAAGCCCCATGCAGCTAACAGCATGATGTTCAACTTTTCTGTGTTACTTAACATATTCGCTTTACTTAACAGTTTGTGGAAATATGTATTCGCCAAAGAATTTCTCATTTCGGAATTTGCTTAATCAGGTCTCACATAATTTTGACCGCATGATTATTCCACTCCACTCCTCATAAAGGCATCAACACTTTTGGATTTAAAGACACACTAAGCAGCGACTTGAATACGGAGTTAAGCTAGCCCCTTCAACATCTTGATTATCTGGTCCTATATACAACTTAAATTCTGTGCCTTGAGTCCGCTGTGCACGTCTTCTTCATTAATGTGTTGTTTCGGTTTTGATTGTTCTCAGTTTGCAAA